AATACCTTATATGCATGTATGAAATTCTCAATAAAATTTTTGTAAAAGTTAAAAAAATTGTTTTTGCTGGGCACGATGGTGTATGCCTTTAATCTCAGCACTTAGGAAGCAGAAGAGGTAGGTGGGGATCTCAGTGAGATTGAGGCCAGAAGAGGGCATACATAGTGAGTTCAAGACCAGCTGGGGCTACATGGAGACCTTGTCTCAAAGAGACCAAAAAGGGGCCTGAGAGATGGCTCAGCAGTTAAGAGCACTGGCTGTCTTACAGAAGACCTGGGTTTGGTTCCCAGCACCTATATGGCAACTAACAATTTTCCATAACTCCAGTTCCAGTTCCGGGGATACAACGCCCACTTCTGACATCTGTGGGCATTGCATGACATGGGTGCACTTACATACATGCAGGCAATACACTCATACACATAAATAAAATAAAAATAAATATTTTTAAAAGACTAAAACACTGTCTTCTGTTATATGTGGTATATGTGTATGTATATGGTTTGTGCAAATGTGCACATGTGTAAATGTATATGGAGGCCAAGGGTTGACAGGGGTGCTATCCTCAGTTGCTCTCCACCTAATTTTTTGAGACAGGATCTTTCACTGAACTTGAAGCTCATAGATTCAGCTAGATTGGCTGGCTAGCCTGGGTTATGCAGTGAGTTTGAAGTCAGGCCTTGGATGCATAGTAGTAATACCTGTCTCATTAAAAAGGGGGACAGGGAGCAGGACATGGTAAGATATACCTTTAGTCCCAGCACTTGGGAGACAACACAGGCAGATCTATGAATCTGAGGCCAGCCTGGTCTACATAGTGAATTCAGGCAAGTTGAGGCTACAAAGCAAGACCCTGTCTAAAAAAAAATGTGGAAGGTATAAGAGAACTCCCCCTCCTACACACACACATACACACACACACACAGAGGGCGACTTGGGATCACAGCAAGAAAGCAGATGTCTGTAAGACAAGAAGAGGCCTCATCAGAAACCAGTCCTGATGGCACTTGATCTTGGACTTCCAGCCTCTAGGATGTGAGAAAATAAATTTCTGTTGCTTAAGCCATTCAGTCTGAGGTATTTTGTTGTGACCAAGCTGCTAGAATATCCACTCATGGCCAGGGCTGTTTAAGCCCTCTTTCCAGTTCTCCTAACTGATGATTATACCTATCAGCTTAGGGGAACTGGCCTGCTCCCTCCCTCCTCTGTTTTCTGTGCTTCCTCTGAGTTTCCTGCCACCTCTTGGCCATACAAGGCCCCTCAAGAGGATAGACTGGATTTGCTCCAGCTTGGTCTCCGTTCCATACCTGGTCACAATGTGGAGCTTCACTCAATCCTATAACTTGTTGCAGAGCCTTGGCCACGACCTGTTTCCTCTTGTCCAGAAACTCCAGCTCCCCATCACAGAGGTCAAAGCCAAGGCGTAGGTCCAGGTCCCCAGAGCTGCTTTAGATTGGGTGGCTGGGTACTAGGTGACTTCAGTGGAAGACAGCCTCATACCCAGCCCATTTTTCATAGGAGCAGACCCATATTCTATGAAACTCCTCAGAAAGACCCCAGGGGACCTCCCACCAACACCATAAAGGTGATTCCAATAGCCTGACCAAGTGGGCAGGAGAACAGAATCCACTGGGGATTTCCCACTTCTAGCCAAGCCCCTGAAGGTCTTTTGCCAGTAATCCCACCTTACCTCATTTCTGCCTTCACACTCAGAGGTACCTCCTGGCCCTGAAAGAGACAGCCCATCCCTGAGCAACTGGAGCCAGGCTCCCACCTTTGACCCCTGTTTCTCAGATAACTGTCCAATGTGGGCATGACTGAGTTCCAGGCTGACCTGATCTTGCATTTCCATAGACATAGCCTTCTCTTGATGATCACAGGGCAGACTGGGGTCTCTAGCACCAGACCAAGCCTTACCTCCTCCAGTACCACAAGGCATTGTTCCTTCTGGCTGAGGGGCAGAGAAGACAGCAGGATGCCCATCTCACCCAGCTTGCTGGTCTGAGCCTCCAGCTCATCACTTGGGTCACTCTGTAGATGAGTACCAAAGAGCAGTAAGTAGTGGAAGTGATGCTCCCAGGTACTCCAGAGTCTCCTCCTACCTGGGCTGACTCCATTGTCCCGCTCCTTACTGGTCACTCACCTGTAGAACTACCAGCTTCTCTTCCAACTCTACCTGCAGCCTGGAGCTCAGCACTGGGTTCACGTGGAAGGTAAAGGTGGGTAGGCCTGACTCTGTGGGCAGCTGCAGGGGTACTAGCTGTGGCTTCTCATAGGCCCCAGGCACTGACAACTGGATCTGCCTTGAGCCTGAGGACAGAGGCCCAATGGAGGTTAAAAGTGAGTGGGCGTACCTGTGGCTCCAGACAGTGACATCCCAGAAAACAGCAACTTCTCCTCCTCTTCCCCAGCTCCCAGCTCTCATCTCTCTGATTACTCTCAGGCACCCTGACCACAAGAGAAACACCATGGAGAGCTCTTGGGCCCTATAACCTGCCCTGGTGTAAGGGAAACAAATACAGAAAGGGAAGAAGAATGGCTCTGCCCATAGCCTATGGGGCTAGTGAATATGAAACTATTATATTAATTACTTAATATATAATTTTTAAAATTAAGTGTCCATTCATCATTATACATCTTTATATATTTTATTTATTATTTTTTAACAGAGCATAGGGTAGTAGGGGTTTACTTACAGAAGAGTGGGCACCCCGCATTTACAGCTGCACCGTAAAGACCACAGTCCACACTCAAATACAGATCCTGCCATTCACTAGTACATAATTACCAGTTTTCAAATGGTAATCCCCGCCACCATTGTCTCCCACTCAAGCTTTGTGCTCATTGCCTTGAGGGAGGTTTATAGTTGGAGAGAAAATAGAAAGGCTGCAAGTTGCTCTGGCCTTAGTTTCTAAAAGTAGAAGAACTTGGGAGATTATAGGGAGTTGGCAGAGGAGATAAAAGGCAGAATGGCATTCTGGGTACAGAGAGAATTACACATTGGAGAAGAAGCAGAGGAGGGTTGCCCCAACTAGGTGAGACCCAGGCTGAGGAGAAGGAAAGAAATAGGCCTGTATACTAGAAAGGAACAGTGGGAATCCTGCTCTGCTTCCTAGCAGCTTTGGGGGTAGTACAGACTCCAGAGAAAAATGGCCATGTATGACCTCCAGGCAGAGGGGACCACAGACTGCCCTAAAGAAGAGTCTGGATACATCATAGAAGCAACAGTGACCCAAAGGGCCCAAAGACCAAAGAGGTTCAGATGGGGGTCCCAGTCCCTATACTACATCCTTGCACAAGATGAAGTCAGACTTGACATGCCCTGGAGGAGGAGAGAAAGAATTTTGAAGATGCTCTTTCATTCCCATCAAGGTTTATGGCCTGAGATAGAGTAAGCCATTCATAGAACCCCAGATTCTGTGGTGAAGAGAATAGGCTCTGGAGTGTGTCAGACTGGGTTTTGTCCTGGCTCTCCTACTTGCTAGGTGTAAGAACCTTCAAAGAAGAACCTGAAGTAAGGTGTTTCTTTGAGCCTTGGTCTCATGAACTGACAGAGGTTAACAATTGCAACTGATTTACATGGCTGACATGAGGAAACACAATCAAATAGTTGAAAAGTGCTGGACTCGGGGCTGGAGAGATGGCTCAGCAGTTAAGAGCACTGACTGCTCCTGCAGAGGACCCAGGTTCAATTCCCAGCATGGCGGCTACGAACCATCCTTAACTCCAGTTCCAGGGGAATCTGAAGCCCCCTTCTGACCTTCGCGGCAATGCACAACACAGGTGCACTCACTTACGTGCAGGCAATACACTCATACATGTAAAATAAAAATAATAAATAAAATATTTTTAAAAAAGAAAAGTGCTGGATCCTTCATATGACCTAGGCAGCGTAGGCTCTGACTCTCCACTTAGGAAGGGACCTTAACCGTTACACAGCCTTGGCTCCACTCCCATTTCTGGATGCCTCCTCCTGAGTCACCTTTGTGGCTGTCTGCATTGATGGTCCCCTTCTTCACTTCCCTTGTATTCTTGCTCTTTGCCACATTGTCATGGGTCCCCAAGTTCTTTTCTTCTCAGAGGAAAGAATTCAGCCAGAGAGACAGTTTAAGCATTAATTTAGCAAAATTAATTTAGAGAAATTGGAGTGGGCTACCTCAAAATGGGAAAAAGCACAGTGGGTTTTGTGTTGTGGATTTTAAAGCTTTTATGAATATTTCTTAAGTGGGTGACACTTATGGGGTAGCATGATCCTTTCCCCCACCTAAATCATAGTGGACTGGACTTAACTTTTAGGGCATCTCCCCCATGATTCTTTTAGAAAAACCTGCAGGGAGGAAAGGGTAAAAACTACAATATAATAATGAAGCCACATTCTTTTGACAATGCAGACCCTTTGCTAGTGCACAACTGTAGGAAAATTCCCTGGTGCCTTAGTTTTGATAAAGCAGGAACAACTGATCTGTAGGATTGTTTAACCACAAAGGGGCATTCTGACCAACAGGAGACACAGCTACCAAGACACAGCTGTGGCTTCCTTGGTTACCTTGGGTCTAATTCCTTTGTGAGATTGCTCAAGGTCCCAAGATTAATCTCATGACCTTTGGTTGACACATTTTGTTATTTTTATTTAGGTTTTATATACATATATATATGTGTGTGTGTGTGTGTGTGTGTGTGCATCTGTGGTGTGTGTGACATATACACACGTGTATGTGAAATGAGCATGCCTGTGCACAGATATGGAGGCCAGAGAATGCCAGGTGTCTTGCTCTAGCAGTCTCCACCTTATTCCTTTGAGAGAGGATAGCTCCTTGAATCTGGTGCTAGACTGGCAGCCAGCAAGCCCCAGCAATCCTCCTGTCTTCACATCCACCCTCTAGCACTGGGGTTAATTTGCATATGCTCATGCCTGGCTTTTCTCATGGATACTGGGGATTTGAACTCAGGTCTTCATGCTTGTGCAAGTAAGTACTCTTAGCCACTTAGCCATTTCCCCACCCCTATTTATTTGTTTTGATTTTTTTTTTTGAGACAGGGTCTCACTATGTAGCCCTGGCTGGCCTAGAAACCATTATATAGACTGTGCTAGCCTGGAACTCACAGAGATCTGCCTGCTTTTGTCTCTCAGTGCTGGGATTACAGGTGTGTGCTAGTCCATCAGCATCCTATTTTGTTTTTTGTTTTTGGTCTTGGTCTTTTTGAGACAGGGTCTCTCTGTAGCCCCAGCTGTCCTGGAACTCACTATGAAGACCAGGCCAGCCTTGAACTCACAGAGATCTGCCTGCCTCTGCCTCCGGAGTGCTAGGATTAAAGGTGTGCGCCACCAGGCCCGGCTATTTTTTTTATTTTTAAAAGTGAGATTTTACACTGAAGGCCAAGGCCAGGGTTTTATAATAGACTGGCAGGCTGCACAAATGGGAAACAGGACTTGTGTTAGCCTTTAGGGACTCCCTTCTCCCAGCTCTCCTGCTCAGGTCTTCTACCCTGATGATGTGACTTCAGTTTTCCCATTAAGGATGCAGACTATACTCCCTGTCGTCCAACTTTAACCATGTGACCTGTTTGGGCCAGTAACATGTAAGTGGCCAGGATATGACTAAAGTCTTGAAAAGCACTTGTTCAATCACTCTCTCTGAGGCCTTAAGAACATGCCCAGGCTGGTCAGTTGGTCACAGAGGTGGAGGAGAGACACATGGAACAGAGTCATGCTTCCCTCTAAGGCCAGTCTTAAACAGCCAAGCCCCTGATGTACCACCTCCACTTCCCCCAACCACCAGAGCTTGTTTCACTTTGAGCAGTGAAAAAGTCAAGAACCCCTTGGCCCAGGTCCACCTCCTTCACATCAGCAACCTCTAGAGAAGACAAGACCCAAGACTGTGGGCCAAACTCACCATACTCTTGATGTGAGGCTGTCTTATCTCCCTTGAGTGTGCCCTGGATTCTCAGACAGGGGTGAGCCTGAGGAAAACAGAAGTCTTAGGAGTCAGAGAGCTCATAGGGTCCATAGGGTAGAGGGAGGGAGGAGAATCTGGGGCAAGCATCACAACAGACTCCCAGGGCCTAGGATAGCTAGGCCTTATGAGTAGGAGTCTTTTGTAACAATCCCCAAGGTTGTACCAGGCTCCCTACCTAGGACTCAGAAGTGGGCTCGGGTGGGAAAGGGGAGTATGGAACTCCCTCTTCCCATAGAGTTCCTCAGCAGTCTCAGTAGCCAGAGTCCCAAGGAAACAATATACAACGTATAAGATAGGAAGCCTGGGTTCTGGGGTGTCCACTCAGGTGCGAGACAACTTCTTGTTCCTTATCTCCCCAGCATATCTTCCCTCAAAGGACGGACGGGTGGGTAACATGGACTCAGCCATGGTCTCCTGTTCCCACCCCCCAGCCCCAGAGAGTCCCACTCCCATCTTCCCTACCTACCACCAGGACCCCGTTGGTGATGACTTCAGATGCAGGCACCTGACTGCAAAAGATGAGGGGCTCATGAACCATCTGGCCCCTTGCCATAGCTATTACAACATGACCAAAGCAGGTGGAAGAGCCCAGGAATCATGATTTGGGGGAAGGAGATTGTCAGCTAACATGAAAAAGGGTATCAGAATCAGACTGTCCCTCTGAATCCAGGCCAGCAAAGGATTTGGGGACAGGCACTAGGAATAAATGGATAGACACTGCACTGGCTCCTCCTGGACTTACCTCTTTTCCAGAGTAAATTCCACCTCCAGCTCTTGTGACTCCTATATGGAAGTGAGCAAGGGCATCAATTTTCAAAAAGCCTAAAAAAATCTCAGGAACTGACCCTGTCTCCCATTTTGCTCTTCTGTGGACTAGGAAAGGGGACTGGTGTGGCATCTCACTGGCACAGGGGGGCAGAGGCATCTCCATGCAGAGATTCATTCATTCAGAAATATCAGATGCTGCTCAGCAGTGACCAAGGCCAACCCAAGCCACTGCCTGTCAGTAACTTCAGGGCTCTCCTTTCCTGGAGATTTGCTTGCTGTTAGCCCAGGTGGGGCTCACCTGTTGGTTCAGATGGAAGGTGTGCCTGTGAGGCTGGCCTGGCTGGAGACTCCTCAGGTCAAACAGTAGAATGGAGAGCTTATCACTTCCCAGGATATCCTTGTCACAGAGGGTAAGCTCCAGGACATTCTGGGGACAGGGCAGAAGGGTCAAGATCCTGGAAGAGCTCACTGGTTTCCATGTCCAGTCCCTCACTGGCCCACACCTTCACAGCACCGTGGATTTGGTAGTGGAAGGTCTCGTTCCACTCTGGGTCACTGCAGTTGGCCACTGTCTTTGTGTGGGCAGGGCTAGCAGAGGCTGTGGGCAGCCACAGTCGCACATAGCAGTCAGCTTTGGTCACTGCAGGTGAGATGAGGGAGGGGACCTCAGAGTCAAGCTCTTATTGCTGCAAAGGTTTCCCAGAGTATTCGTGGCCCTGAGAAGGAGCAAGGGAAGAAGAGACCACCCGCCTATGGGAAGCAAGGGAGCTTTGGTACCCCTCGCTTCATCTTAACCAGGTACACCTCAGTCACAGTTCAAAGGATCATGTGGCAGCACAGACCATTGAGTAATTCCTTGAAACTGTATTGATTCAGGCAATACAGTTCTGAACACCACTGTGGAAAGCTCTTAGAAAGCAGACATTGATGTGTGGCAACACCAAGCCTTATAGTCTCATAGGCAGAAACCTCCTAGGCTTGGGAGTCTGGATTCTGTACGACTCACCCCTCCAGGCCCCACCTGCTTGCCTGCCTGCTCTGTACCAGGGCAGCCTCCTTCCATGTCAATGCCAGCCCTCCACTGTACTCCAAATGGGTATTTTTGTGTACACACACACACACACACACACACACACACACACACACACGGAACTCTGCAAACGCCCTAAGGAAAAGAAAGGGAGAAGGTGGAGGTGAGTGTGACTCACAGAGGTCTGTGTGCTGGATGTTTCTGGCCCTCAGCACCTTCACCTGGAGGTCATAGTATGGATGGGTTTCCCTCTGAAATAATGGAATTCCAGAAACTTAGTTCCAGGAAACTGGGGTGGCCTGGTCACTTCCCTCAAGTTTCGAGCTCCTGTTCTCCTTTGTCTACTGTCATACCACAGAACTGCAACCTGACCCGAGGTCACTGACGCCACTGTGCCAGGAGTTCTGGGGAGATTTTCAAGGGCCAAGTGTGGGTGCTCAGGATTGGTGATGAATCTGCATCCTGAAATCCACCAGGCTTGGGTTCAAGCTCTGCTCTGAGCTCTATGAACTAGTTGTGATGGTTTTATCATGTACCATAAACCAGCAGCTGCCCTCAGATGACTGCTCCTTCCATTCTTTGAGAGCTGTGTGCTGGACATTTCTGGCCCTCACTCAGCATTTTCACCTAGAGGTCGTAGTATAGATGAGTTTCTATACTAACGCATAGTATTTGATGTTTTTTAAGAGGTTAAACATTAAAAGAGAAAGCTAGAATCCACCACACCCATCAGCTTCCAGACAAGGGCTAGAAGACCAATCAGAGACAGTGAGTGGGAAGGTGAAAAGAAGCCAGACGTCACCAAGTTTGTGCTTGTCTGACAAGTCCCTTAGTAAATTCAAGTTTGGGCTCAGGAAAGATAAGGCCAGATTACAGTCTGTCTTCTGGGCACGAATCTACCCCTCAGAATTCAAAGGAACTCCGTATTCCTCTTCTCCATACTGGGTTCTACAGCCAGGCTAGAACATTCCTTGCTAAACCAACCAACCGAGGCCAAGGGTCACAGGATTTGCCCTCCTGTTTCTTTTTGGAGAGGATTTTCAAGAGCCAAGGCCTTGGCCAATCTAAGTCTGAGCTTTTCCAGATTCTCTGCAGTATGCCTTACCAACTAAAGCAAAACTCAGTGCAAAAGCCTTACAGGGCACAGCAGCTCCCAAGACTCTGCAGTTCACATCTCCCAGGTGAGATCAGTACATTACCCGCCAGCAACTCCATTGTGGTCCCTTCTCTCTCTTCTGCAGTAGTTCTGCCCCGACAAGGGGCAGCCCCTTGCCTACCAGCCACCTTGGCCAGAGGACCCAGAGCATGGCCAGCAGCCCAGGTCTCAACAGGGAGCTTGCCTGCACTTGAGTGCCAGCTGCTCTCTAGCTGTATCAGCTCACTGTAGCTCAGGTCTGACAGGTAGCACTGGGGTGGGGAGGGTGGAGCAACTGCTGTGCTGAGGACTCAAGCCTGGGTGGCCACTATGGCTGGAGGTGGGGTTTGATGTGCTCCAGGAAATGACTGGAGGCGATCGCTTTCCAAGAGATTCTTGGGGTCCTGCTTAGCACTCTGGTCCCCAACCCAGCCCCTGGCTAACAGTGAGCTAATTGTGAAAAACAGATACCTTAAGCCTCACTCCCATGGTCCTGTTTATGGGTGGGGGAAAGAGCCCAGGTATTCCTATTTCTAACTAGTCTGCCTTTGAACAGAAGCCTGAAAGTGCTATAACCTCTAGCTGTCAGAAAAACCCACACCACCCCTCCTTCAAGTCCCATCTTCTTCACAGCTTGTAGGCAGAAACATGGAAATTTCTGGCTCAGGGTTTCATGGGAACTCAAAGATGATTTGTGTCTCTCTTGGCTTTCCTCAGTTATTCCTTTAAAACAAAGGCCATGTTGTGTGTTAGGACTGTATTAGTCCTGAAGGTGAGAGTCATTTACATCCTGAAGAAATTTACCTCATGACTCCCCATGGCTTCTGCCCAGGCCCTTCCTAGGTCAGTGGCAATAGCTGGTGGTTCAGGCCCAGAGGTACAAATATAGCCAGGTAGAATAAGGACAGGAGAAAGGCAGGCCTGCCTATCCTTAAACTGCTAGAGACAAAGGCTTTAAAGTCCTTATGACCATTATGAGCCTCAGGCTGCAGCTGTACATGTCATCTCCTTTTCTGTGGACCACGATCATCGAAGGTGGAGGTCAGAGTCTCTGGGAAAATAAGTTTCTAGGGCCAGAGAGATGGCTCAGCAGGGACAACCGCCAAGCTTGATGACCCGAGTTCAATCCCTGAGTCTTTGAGGGTTGTCTTCTGACCTCCACACAGTATACCTACACATACACAGGAAATAAAAGTTTTTTCTTAAAATGCTATTTTTCTTTTCTTTTCTTAAAAGGAATTTTCTAGGAGAGTGAAGTATTGGGAAATACATTTCTTTTCTTCGACCAAGACCCTTTTACAGTCAGGGGTAGTGGTACTTGTAATCCCAGCACTTGAGATGCTGAGGCAGGAGGTTTACTTGAGCTTAGCAATTTGAGACCAGCTTGAGGTACATGGTAAAACCCTTATCTCAAACAAGGAAGCAAGTGAGAAATCCAGGAATCTCCATTATCTTCTCCAAGACCCAGAGCTGTAGGCTGAAAGAACATCCAAAAAGATGATTCCATTCTAAAATGAACCAGGTACGTTCAGACCAGAAACTCCAGATGATGTGACTGCTACAGCCAAAACCCGAGGTAGGCCCCGTCTGCTTCATTTGGATTGTGAAGTTAAGGTCTGACCCAGAAATGAGGGAGTCCAGCCTCCGTGTTGATCTTGCGCAGTGCACAAGGCACTCCTGGATCCACAGAGAAAGACTGGGGTCCAGGCTCCCGCCTGACTTGAGTGTTTTCTGGGCTGTACTGCCTCCTCCCGTGGGAGCTATCTCCCCGTCTCAACAGTCATGACTGTTCCAGAAAAATTTCACTGGCAGAATCTCAGGACTGCCACAGACAGCTCAAGAGGGAACAAGCCAGAGGGACCAAATTGCCATTTTGGAACTGGCCATACATAGTGAGCTTCAGGAAGAGGCATAAGGCCCTGTTACGTGAAGATGATTTGAATTATGTAGACTTCCAGGGCTCCCAGTGTGTGCTGTCGTGACTGTACAGATGGAGGTGTCCATGAAAGGGTTACTTTCTTAGTCACTAGCTGTCTTATTCTTTTATTTTAAATTATTTATTTTTATTTTATGTGGTATTTTGCCTGCATGTGAGTATTGTGCATCATGTGCATGCAATGTCTATGGAGGCCAGAAAGGTGGCATTGGATGCCTTGGAACTGGAGTTTCAGGCAGTTGTTAGCTGCCAAGTGGGTCCAGGAATGGAATCTAGGTCTTCTGGAAGAACAGCCAGTGCTCTTCACCACTGAGCCATCTCTCGTTTCTTAGCTAAACTACTATACCTTCATTATCATTTCATCAAAGTCTTTAGAAGTGGGGGGAAAAGAGGCTCAAGGAAACTTAGATTCTTGTTTATGTTTATTGAGGATTAGCTTAGAGCCCTCCATCATCCTCAGTCCAGAGCTTTTCCTCCACTTCCCCCATTCCTCCATGGAGGGCAGAGTCCAGGGAAGGAAGGATGGAGTTTGGGAAAACAGGGTCATATATGTATACCAGTCAGATGAAAAGTCTTTATTCTATTCCTTCAAACACAGTTTGTGAGAAAGGAAGCTACAAGCATAGCAGGCCAGGAAGACAGGACTCTCATGATGGGGCATGTTCCTGTCCTGCACAAGATGGCTATCTGGTGCCTAACTGCTGCTCCTGGATTAGTGCATTCTGAGCTGGGCTCACAGGCAGTACTGCTTCTTATGGGCAACTATGGCCAGTTAGGACAGTGACTTTTCTTTCATGCTGCCTTATGAAATACTGCCTGAGCTCTGAGACTTGAGTGGAGTCTGCCATGTCCACAGAAAGCACACTAGTGAGACACCTAGCCTACTTTCCACCAGCAAGTCAGTCTATGTCATAAGGCCCAGTCCCGACAATGGTCTGTGTACCAAGGAGAGGCCACTAAGACAATGCAAGTGCTGGGCACTGTCATCACCCTCACTACCCTTAAAGATATTGGGGCAACAAGACTGTAAATCTGTAAACCCCACGGAGGACAGGATGTGGAACACTAGCCCAGCAAAGCCTCCAGTGCTACAAATTAATCCTGTACATCTCTCAGAGGCTCCCCCATGAGCTCAACAGAGCTGGCAACGAGTCTCCTGCTATACTCCAGAGTCACTTTCTGCTGTCCCTCAATGCAAACACACCCAGCATTACACCGGTGCCAGTTTCTGATCAACTGTTCCCTGAATGCAGTGGAGACCCACCTTCCCCCACTATCCTAGAGCAATTCTCCACTGTGGCAAAGCCAAGACAGGGAACGACAATGGGCTGGTAAGTAACAGCTATGGAAAGTGGCTGGGAAGGAGAAAGGTATCCAAAGCACAAAAAGCTCACTCACAAAGATGATACAACCTACCCAAGTAGCTGGTGAGTGGCTGGAGCAGGTGCTTCTGTGGGAACCCTGCCTAGGAGACCACGACCCATGCAGTGCTGTCCCGGGAGGTTCCAAGGCTTACTCTTGCAGAGAACAATGCTCTCCCAGACTCTCAGCAGAAGAGTATGGCTGAGACCTTCATACAATGTACCTGATAACTGATTATCAGTGCACTCCTGGAAGTCCAGATTTTGTCTTTCCATTTTACCTTGTTTAAATTAGCTACTCCTCTCACCCCCACCTAGAGAGTGGGCGAGAAGGTCTGGGTGGTGTAGCAAGGGAAGAGATTAAGGGTCAAAATAAATAGTGAGAAAGAGAAAGAAGAAGAGATTAAAAACTAAAGGGATAAACAAGGAGACTACTTGGAGGACACAGGGTATAGCTCCTGTGGAGAAATCACTGGCATTATAGTGAGTCAGTTTTGTTAGTATCAAGCTCCCACAGGACTCTCCAGGTAGTCTTGCTGGAGGGACTTGTGAAGCTGTGTACTTAACAGAAAACTCTCAGTCAATAACCCTAGGAGTACAAGCACTTGAGATTAGGTCTCCTTATTCAGGTGATTGGTATGCAAAGGCAAGACGGTGCAGATCCTCCTGTCCAAGCAGGTGTTAAATTCTCTGGAATTGCCTGCAACGTAACAGTGTAAGGTATAACTAGTCTCTTTTTCTATTAAAAAGCTGGTAGTGCCAGGTCACAAGTCCAGGTAATTCAGTGATGTTCCAGGGCACAAGGTAGCCAGCGGCATCCAAATGAGGGAGACATCTGGTGGTAGCAGTCCCTGGTTCCTAAGGTGGCTGTTCCTTCACCTCTCTGGGATAGCGAGCTATCCACTCTTGAGTCCTTGGGATGCTGGGTTCAGGTGTCGGCTGGGTTTACCTCTTTGGAACAGAAGTAGTGCACAACCACTCCATTGGGGTATCTTGCAAATGCACTGCAGGAAAGCAGAATGGCTTGGAGGTGAGAGCTGTTCCAACACTCTCCTCCAGTACTTATGGCATCAACCCCCAGGAGCCACTCTAAAGTAGCCCATACAAATCCCAAAGAACAGCTCAACAATACCCAATAACTCTGGATTTTTGTAGTGCCATTTCTACCAAATAACCAGAGGATGAACTATACAAAGGTGAAGTGCAGGTGAGCACTTCTGTTAATCAATTAATGCAGAGCTAGGGGTGTGGGCCAGTGGCAGAGAACTTGACTACTATACATGAGGCTCTGATTTTAATCCTTAGCAACACCACCAAACAATCAATCAAACAAAAAGCCAATGTAGAATATGTGCCCACTGCTCAGCACTGCCTTACTGAAGGCTGACGATGTTCATCAGCACATGCTTCAGGCTAGCTCTAACAAAGAACAGTGTACTAGCCTTCGTAAAGAAAAAGGTTCTTCTAGCTGTGTAAGAAAAAGGACAAACCACTCTCCTTTGAAGGAGAGGGGACTGAGGGTGGAACATTCTTAACACACTATGACGCTGGCTCAAGTCAGGAGGAAGAAGGCTGAAGGATCTGTTTTTCTACCTTCAGAGGCTTGTTCTTTCTACTTGACATGGTGGTGCAGGCCTGTAACCCAAGCACAGGGCGGCTGAGGTTGGAGAATGCAGAGTTCCAAATCAGCCTGAGCTACTTAGCCAGACCGTATCTCAAAAAGACTTTTTGCATAGTGTCTCTTACCCTCTTATCAAGTCTCTGGCTCTAGTGTTCTTTTAAGGGGTCAGAAGGAAGAGCTTTTTGGGCAAGAATTTAACAGCTCCATGCCACATACGTCAGGTCTTTAAATTCTCAAAGCTCATTTCCAACAGACTGCATGGCTTGCTCTCTCAAAGCTCAAGAATTCAAGGCATCCAGGACAAGCAGCTGTGCTTTTCTCCTTGGGTATGATAGTGCTATCAACCTGACAGAGTCTAGAATCACCTTACATTACTGTGGGGGATTATCTTGATTTTGTTAACTGATGTGGAAGACCCACCTTGGCTGTGGGCAGACTCTCCCTTGGCAGAGAATCCTGGACTGGAAAAAATGGAGAAAGGGAGCTGAGCACTGGGAAGCATTTAATGATCTCTCTTTGACTGTGGATGTAATGTGATCAGCTGCCTCAAGCTCTCATTGCCTTGACTTCCCTCCCATGATGGATGGTGTCTTAATATGAGAATAAACCCTTTCTTAAGTTGCCTTTGTCCAGAATATTTTATCACAGTAATGGGGAAAAAAATTATGGCAGGAATCTATCCTGAGTATTCTCAACCCTGGGGAGCCCATCTGCACCCGGATGCTACTCAGGGTACAGGAAGCTTACCTGTTCCCAATCTTCTTCTTGCACACCATGCACACCTTCTCCTCTGTGATGATACACTTCACCTGCTGGTGTAAGATCCGTTCTTCCTGGACCTGGAAGAGATTGGGGAAGAAGTTCCAGGTCCAGATGTAGAAACAGAAGGTGGAAGACAGCACTGGTCCACTTTTGTGCTCACACAGATTCTACTTGTAGTAATGCTTGCAGCTAAACTGTGCTGACTGCGGGATTGGCCTGAGCTATGCTGTCGTGCCTTGATGACAATGGACATGTGGAAACTGCCTCACTGGAAATCAAAGACCACTCAGAGAGTGGCAAGCCCATACCCTCAGGAACTCGGCATGGAGAAGGTTCTTGAGTACTTGATTGAACCGTTTCTTCTGTGCATTTTCTTCCAAGACCTTTTCCAGAAAGATGCGTATGTCATTGATCTGAGTGTTTGCTGGCAGAAGGTTGATTGCCTAAGAACAGAGAGACAGGGACAGGTTAAGGCTGAACAGAAGTGGGACTAATAAAATATCTAAAGCCAAGAGCTCTTGGGCCCTAGCCCTTTTCCCACCCCTCTTTTCAACTCCTGCTCCATCTCCTGGAGCAGGATCTCTGACCTTGGTGTTGTCTAATTTGCTGTGGTGCAGCTCAAGGACTTGCAGTGCAGCTTGGAGGTTGGCTTGTGGCTCTAATAGTTCCAGTTTGATTGGCCCCAGGCAGTGAATGCTGGGGGGTGTCAGGTACATCCGAAGCAGGGACAGATATACCTGTCTCACAGATACAAGTCATGCATGTCAGGCTGGCAATAACCCTCCCGGAAACCCCAGCCCTGAGCCTCCCTAAAGATTACTGTCATGGAGCACTCCAAACTCATTGTCTTCACCTTGTTTTTCCATCCCAGCACTCTCAACATTTGGGGTAAGACAATTCTTTGCCTTGGGGCTTCCTGAGCATGATTTAGCAACATCTCTGACTTCTACCTCCAGATTCTACCAGCATTCCCACTTCTAGTCATATCAGTCACAAATGTCTCCAGATGCTGGCAAATCAATGTGTATTCCAGACATAGTACATCAGACCCTTCCTCCTCAAGGGGCCAATCCACATTAATTTAGTGTATGAACTGGAACTCTTGAGAGGGACAGGGGTACTACCAAAATCACATGGATAAGGGGAGATAGAATCAGCAGTAAACCAGAACGCATGGCTACCTAGCCTCTTCCCCAATAAATGCATACAAAATTCACTCAGTGCACAGACCTATACTGTGTCTCATTTAGCAATTCATACCAGTACCAGTTGTGGTCACACTGGATGGGGTGAGGTCTGCTAAAGTGGCAGGAAAGGCACAAGTCCTCCCTAAGTTAGAGCTACTACTTACATCTTTGTTGCCATCTTTACTTCGGTCGTAATGTTTGTGGCAATACCTGCAAGGGAGAGAAGTGGTGAGAGCTGGCAAAGGGGACCAGATGAAAGGTGTCCATACGTCTGCTGGGGCAACCTAACAGTAACTGAACAGGGCTGGTAGGGGAGTGCTCTCTGCAGCCAGGTATGGGGGTGGCCATGGCCTCTCAAGCTGCTCATTTTTCTGGGGACCTGCCTGTGGACTCCTTGGGAGCCAGGAGGACAGAGAGCTGACTTACTCTTCAGCCATCTTTGTATCCTTCAAGACGTGGACATAAATGAAGAGTGCTTGTTCATGTTTCCCCATGCGCCCCAACAGGAGAGCTCGTTCTTCTAAGAGGCCTAGGAGGGAAAAGACTCTAAGTAGCTGTCAACATTGTTATGCATGCACAAGATCAGAAGAGCAGGGACTAAGCTACTGGTGTAGGCATAGTGGGACAATACAAAAAGGTAAGAAAGGGCTGGGGGACCAACAAGATGGCTCAGTGGATAAAGGCACTTGCTGCAAGAATGGATGATTGGAGTTCAATTCCTAGAACCCACATCCACATGGTGGGAGAACCGACATTCCCACAAGTTGTTCTCTGACCTCCAGATTCACATCATGGCGTGTACGCACACACATGTGCACACCTGCACACACATACACACACAGTCAAACAGATACTAAATTTCATTTTTTAAAAAAAGAGGAAAAACTAACTCCTTCTCCCCCAAAACAGCTCACAGATAAGTACATGTTTAGCATGTGCAAGGCTCTGGGTTCAATCCCAAGCCCCAAAATAGTAAAAATATAATAAAACAGAAGAAAATAGTACTACTTTTCTTTTTTTAAATATTTTTTTATTTATTATTTTTATATTATGTGTATGCGTGTATTGTCTGCATGTAGGTAAGTGCACCCGTGTCGTGCAATGCCCGTGGAGGACAGAAGAGGCTGTCAGATCCCCTGGAACTGGAGTTATGGACAATTGTTAGCTGCCATGTGGGTGCTGGGATTCGAACCTGGGTCTTCTGTAAGAACAGCCAGTGTTCTTAACCGCTGAGGCACCTCTCCAGCCCCCCTCTTTTATAAAATTTGTGTGTATGTGTGTGTGTGTGTGTGTGTGTGTGAGACAGGGTCTCCCTGTAGCCCCAGCTGTCCTGGAACTATGTGGACCAGGCTGGCCTTGAACTCACAAAGATCTGCCTGCCTCTGCCTCCCAAGTAAATACTATTACTTTTCTAAAGGAGAAAATTACTAAAAAATTTTAAAGGAAGCTGGGTATGGTGGTGCACAACTTTAATCCCAGCACTCAGGAGATAAGTGGGCAGATTTCTGTAAATTTGAGGCTGGCCTTGACTATGTAGTGAGTTCCAGTTCAGTCAGGGCTACACAGTGCCAGACCCTGTCCCAAAAATAAAAAAAGGAGAAGGAAGCTTATCTAGGAGGTACTGTATCTCACCCATTTAATGCACTTATATAAACTGAGTAAGGACACTCATTCAATAGCCAAGTTCATAAAAATGGCTACAACCTATTTATCATCAGGGAATGTAAGGCACTAAAGTGTTAGTGCTTACAGAGCTGGTATATCAGACAGATTTATCTTTTCAGATGAATCATGCCAGATTACAAAAAGTGCTTAATGAAGAACTTGGCCAAGAACACGTTTTAAAGCAATAGATTACAATCTATTAATTATCATGTGGTTCACACCCAAAGGAGACCTCTCAGTCACTGTTCCAAAGTGACTGTCAAGAAGAACAACCAGCTCTGGCCTCTGAGGAGGGCTGAGGAAGAGCAAAATGGGAAGGATCAGCTCCTGCACTGGGTCCAGCTGAAATGGCTCTGGCCCTCAGCCCAGCACTCACCATCAAAAGGAAAGTCACAGATGAGCCGGCCTGGGTCATAGTAGCCGGAAATCTCTAGGAACATGAGCAGCTTTTGCCGGTATTCTCCCAGCTCACCCTCTTCCTCTCCAGCAGGGACTGGAGTTTTGCCTTTAAAGGAAACCAAGATTGATGTGAAATGCTGCTGCCCAGCAACAATATGGGGAAAATGAGGGGAATGGGGCTCAGTGATGTCACCCCATGATCAAGAAAGGCCTCCATGGAGGTTTCCCAGTGTTGTTCTTTTCTTCATGGTCACTATGGACCCAAAGCAAAATGAGGTTAAGGAAGGCAGGCTGAATGAAGAAACACTGCTAGGCCAACCTGTTTCTTATCAGCATAGTTGTCATCTAGCAAACAGATCAGTTCCTTCTGCTTTGCCCAAGGAGGACTACCACAGATGCTCAGACCCAGATAAGGGCTCCTGAGTGACTCAGTCCCTGGCTCCTCTACAGGACTTCCCACCCACCTGGGCAGAGAACAGTGGGGTCTGATCCCCACACTCTATGTAGATACCCTGTTCTGCCTGATCTCTAAGGCCTGGGACCAACTGTTTTGGGTGTGAAGTAGTACCTGCAGGGAAAGACAGGAGGTAGTCCTTCATTAAACCTTGAACCTTCTCACAGTACAGCTGGATCAGGCAGTTGTGGAACCTTGAGCCTGTCTCCTCCCAAACGTGGATGATGTGCTCCTAAGGTGGGACACAGGTGGGTCTGGTTGGTACCTTCCATGCTGTGATCCAGTTTCCCAGTCCTCCTCCTGGTTTCAAAAGCCCAACAGGTCCCATCTAGATTATTTCCTAATTAAGCTATGGAGATTACCAAAGGGCAGCTCTTCTAAAATCACTGGGAAACTTTACAGTGCAACCCAGCAATGTCAGGGTTTCTTCAGTTTCCAATCTGAGCTTTAAACATTAAAAAAAATATTTTATTTATTACTTTTATTTTATGAGTGTATTGCCTCCATGTATGTGAGTGCACCCGTGTTGTGCAATGCTGCGGAGGTCAGAAGAGGGCTTCCGATTCCCCTGGAACTGGAGTTAAGGACGGTTTGTGGCTGCCATGTGGGTGCTCAGAATCGAACTTGGGTCCTCTGTAGAGCAGTCAGTGCTCTTAACTGCTGAGCCATCTCTCCAGCCCCTAAACGTTAAACATTTTGTCCTATAATCCTTTAGGCTCTTCTATCAGCCCATGTAATTAATGTTAAATGTTTGCATTCTGGTACCGAAACCTACATGACTGTCTTGTGGTACAGCTTTGCTTGGTTGTATAAATGTGACTTTGACATTTTCCCCCTAAAGCATCATTCTTTATTATTTTGTTTTTAGAAACTGTAGCCCAGGCTGGCCTGGAACTCACATTGTAAGCCAAGCTGGCCTTGAACTGAGAGCAATCCTCCTGCTAAGATTCCAGGTGAGATCCACCATGTCCAACTTAAAACATTATTCTTTTTTGGGGGGTGGGGGCAGGGTTCTTTTGGAGACAGGTGGTCCCTGTAGCCCCAACTGGCCTGCAACTCACTATGCAGACTAGTCTAGCCTTGAACTCAGAGATCCGCCTGCTTCTGCCTCCCAAGTTCTGGGATTAAAGGCATGACCCACCATGCCTGGCTCATTCTTTTTGTTTTTAACATTTTTTTAATAGTTTTGTTTTATGTGTATGAGTGTATTGCCTACATATATGTAAGTGCACCCATGTTGTGCAATGTCCGAGGAGGACAGAAGAGGGTATCAGATCCCCTGGAACTGATATTGAAGATGGTTATTAGCAGCCATGTGAGTGCTGAGATTTGAACCTGGGTCCTTTGCAAGAATAGCCAGTGCTCTTAATGGCTGAGCCATCTCTCCAGTCCTAAAACATCATTATTTCCCTCAGTTCTCTACTAGACTTAACAGCTTTTGTCGAGTGGCATTTCTAGCTTGCTATCCTGATTCTCCTGAAGATTGCATTCTTCAGAGTATAAATAACCTTCCTTATATTTCCACCAATCCCCAAGTGACATAAAACCCCAAATTTGAACTGCTAAAGTAATTTATGGGTTTCTAGATACTGGATTTAAAGCTTATGAGTGCAGACAAAACTGTATCTTACCAGATAAGGAATAGCCAGACCCTTAAAATTCTCTGTTAAGAAGCTGAGCACTCGATCTCGTGGCAGAGACTCCACCTCTGGGAGATCTTCAGTGAATATCTGTTAGAACAAACCCGAGTTCTACAAGCAGCACATCTGGCTACAGTGCCACTGAACACTGCAAGTGTTAAGATCGCACACACTTTTTGGGAGCAGGGTAAACAAGGTATCAGTAGCTGGCTGATGAACAGTCTAGGTTGCAGGCCTCCTGGCCCCAAGGCAAGGCTCCTTTTACCACATTACAGTCTTGTATCATTTACCCACTTTACCCTTTGGCTCCAAAGGGCATATATTCAGCCTCCCATTGCATCTGTGGCTCTCTCTCCAGATAGGATCAGGACCAACTGTAGCACCAGAGAAGTCCAAGGAGCTCTGTGACCTACCTTCAGGCCATCCTCTGGGAAGTCTCTCAGCACCCAGATTGAGTAGGAAAAAATCAAATGCAGATTTTCTGTTCCTAAGATAAAAAGATCTGTCAGCAGTTGAAAAAAGGTAGGTCTGTCCAATGGGACTGGAAGGGCAGGCAGGCAGGTGTGACCTGACCTCAGAATTCAATTTGTGGACAAGATAGCTCTATTCAACTGCCAGTCATTCAGGGCTGCTTGGCAGTCCTGGTCTGGCCTCATGGTTTGACCATTGAGGCTCTCTGAGGCCAAGAAAAGGAACAGAGCTGATGGAACACAAGAGAGGGAGGGGATCAACCAGACACAGGAACAGAGACACAAGGCCCATGTGAACAGAACAGATGCCACCTCCAATGCTTTCAAAAGTTGGGCTCACCCAAGTGCTGCAGATACTGTACTGTCCTCTCATGGCCTTTCAGAGGTGAGTTTGCTTTCTTGGACTGGTCCACCAGCACCTGCAGAGCTAGCCACAAAGCCCAAGAACAAGCTCATGAGTCTCTTGCCCATGGGAGAACCATCACATCCCAGATCCCAGAAGGTCCTCTTCTGGTCACCTTTCTCATGGAGCCCCTTCTTCTCATACAGGATGATCAGCTCGCTGTACTTATGAGCCTTCTTCAGCACATGCTCGCTCTCCTCAATGTGGCAGTGATTGTTCTCCAGGCGCAGCAAGGGAGCCACTAGGGCCACATTCGTCTGTGAGGTAGACAGAACATGGACAGAGGATCACACGGGGCAGCAGCAGATCTGCTTTGTGGAAGTCCCACCTTGCCCAGCTTAGGCCTACACCAGACTGAAAGGCCAGGGATGGAGTATGAACACAAGAAAGCAAATGGTCCTTGTTTCAGGATGACAAGTGGTGGCTTTTAGAGCATTTTTACTCTCTGTACAATGTGTCTCAATGCTCTGGGGGGAAAGAAGAGATTACTTTCTTTGAAGCAGTGCTGTCCCTATTGACCCTGTAGCATTAACCTCAATTTCACTAGCAAAGAATAGCCCCTGGTTATCTTCCCTAATCATCTTAATCACAACACAAAGGCATCAGACAAAGGCTAGGTGGTCCCCATCAGCACAGGCCTCACTCTTACTAGTGACAGGCCCCTGTAGGGCCCTTGTGACATCTTCAGTTTCAGAGCTGAGGTATGGGGGTGCTGCAGCAACTCACATGGAGGTAGCACTTGAGCAGGGTGGTGTCAATGATCTGGAGCAGCTTCTTCTTGGATTTGATGGTGGGTGTGCCTTCCATGAGTGGGGACGTGCTGGACTGGTGGTCCGAATCATTCAGCTTCTTTACCAACTGACTCCGTTTCTGTAAATGCCAAAAACATGGGGTCAAAGCCAGGACTAGCTGTAAACATCTCCAAACAGCTCTGTCCGTCTCCCTAGACGTCATATTAGCATTCACGCTCTACCAGAGTTCAAGATGGATGACTGCCAAATTGTCATGGATACAATAACAAAAATTATCTATTAGTCTTGTTTTGTTTTTGCAGTGCTAGGGATCCAACCCAGGGCCTTGCTTATGCTAGGCAAGAACTCTACCCACTGAGCTATATTCCAAGAACCATTTGTTTGTGAGATTAGCTTTTGCTTGTTCTAAAACTTCTAACATTTAAGTACAGGGGCAAATACCTATAATTCCAGGTATTCACAAAGTTGAAGGGGGAGGATCATTAGTTCAAGTCTAATTTAGAAATACCATGGGATCCCCATCTCAAAAGAATAAAAATAAAAATTTCATATAGTGGAATCATTGGTCTGCATTCTTTTGTGTCTGGCAAAGCTCACGGTCTTGTTCAGTAAAATATTGGTTGTCGGTTAATTTTACACATATCAAAGGTCAGTGGAGGATACAAGGGAAGAAAGTGTGTTCTTGCTCCCAAAGCTATGGCCACAGGCCTTTGGGACTATCACCCCAGGAACCTTATTTACTTGGCACAGGGCTGCAAAGTGTGCACACTGAAGCAAGTTTGTGTGTTCCTTGAGGGTTGCCAGCCATTGCTGGGTACCCTGGAGCTCAAGGTCAAGGACGCACTAAGGCTAAGCCTGATCACACCTGTTAGCACTCACTACCCCAAAAGCAGGAGTGGAAGGTGGCATTATAATTTTTCCAGCAATAGTTTCCAGAGCCTACGGGAATACTTCTTAGAAAGGTCTGGAGAAAACTTAAGAGGGAAAAATACTCATGCAGCTCTGACATGAGTTTGTACACAGGAAATAAACAATAGCTTTCTGTGACAAAGTATGAGTTAAGAGACTTTAAGGGGGGCTGGGGATATAATTAGATTTGTAGAATGCTTGCCTATCATACATAAAATCCAAGGTTCAATCCCCAGCACTGTATAAACTGAGCGTAGTGGTGCATGCCTATAAATCCCAGCACTTGGGAAGTAGAGGCAGGAGGGCATCCTCAGCTACATAGAGAGTTCAAGACCAGTTTGCACTACATAAGATCCAGTCTCAACAAACAAAAACGTGAAACTTTCAGGAGAGGTACAATTTGGTGTTGACTTTAAAATTCTATTTAAGGCTGAAGAGATAGTTCAGCGGTTAAGAGCACTGGCTGCTCTTACAGAAAACCCAGGTTTGGTTCCCAGCACCCACATAGTGACTAACAATCATCCTTAACTCCAGCTCTAAGGGATCCAATGCCCACTTCTGGCCTCTGCGGGCACCAGGCATGCACATGGCACACGTACATACATTGAGGCAAAACATCCATGCAAACTCAAGCAGACAAAAACCCAGCACAGAACTGGGGAAATGGGCAGCAGACCCCAATTTTAGCTGAAGAAATATTGGCAGCTGATTACTGCTGGGTGAGAAAGAGCTGATCTTCTTAAAGCAAGGGACTCTAGATAGGCTGACTAGACTTCAGTAAGTGAAATTGCACTGAGGAATGTTTGAGGCCACTAACTTGATACAATAGGCCTTAACACAAATGACAGAATGTATGAATTCCAGTGGGGGGGTATGAGAGAGTGCCAGTGGGGAAGGGGGTACAAAGGGATGAAGATTGAGATGTTCTGCATGAAATACATAAAAATTCAATAAAACACAAAATAAAAAATGATATATTTATTATAGGAAAACATCTTTGGACACTTTTTCCAAAAGTGTCATTTATGATTACTGTTTATGGATATGTGCAGATATCTGCAACTTGAGGATATATCTGTAATGAATGTATCATTAAAACATAAGACTATAGCTGGGCATAGTGGTGCATGCCTTTAATCCCAGCACTTGGGAGGTAGAGGCAAGGTGGATCTCTGTGAGTTCAAGACCAGCCTGGTCTACCTAGTGAGTTCCAGGCCAGCTGGGACTACAGGGAAACCCTGTCTCAAAAAGATTAAAAAAAATAATAATAAATTCATAGAATAAGAATAAATAAAATCTTAAAAATTTAGAATTCTATTCATCTGTCCATAATAGTAAATTCAAAAAAATTAAAACCTACTTAAAATAAACATATTATAAAAGAATATTTGTTGACAATGACTTTCCTAACACATGGCCAAATTTTAAATTAGAAAACTATAAAATAAAAAAGGTTTTATTAGCTCGGCGTGGTGGCGCACGCCTTTAATCCCAGCACTCGGGAGGCAGAGGCAGGAGAATCTCTGTGAGTTCAAGGCCAGCCTGGTCTACATAGTGAGCTCCAAGACAGCTGGGGCTATAGGGAGACCCTGTCTCAAAAAGACCATAAAAAAAAAAATACTAAAAATAAATGAAAGCTAGTTCATAAACATAAACAAGAAACTAAATGGACAGCAGTGAAAAGTTACTTATCTATGGTGGGAAAGTTACACATGATCCATATTTCTGCTTTATACTTTCTGTGTTTTCCAAATAATAGGCACCCCCGCCCTTGTACACAACTATGTACATCAAGAAAAAGTCTATTAACACTTAAAATTTACCCCTTTCAGGTTACATAATAACTTGTTGTGAATATACCTCTTGATATTAGGGTATGGCTTTAAAAAAAAAACCAAAACCAAAACAGCTCAATGGTTCTGCTAAGTTGGAAGCAGGAACAGAAAGAACCTGGCCCACAATGGCCTCAAGAGCATCCACTTAGGAGTGCCTGCAGCACTATCAAAGCCCTCAATTCATTGCCAGGAGACGCAGGACTGAAACTTTGGGGTAAAGTCTTCCACACACCTCCATGATCTGCCCACCTGTGTCAGGTAGTCAATGAGAGCTAAGTGAGCCTTCTCCAGTTCAGCGCCTGAGAGCATGGGCAATGGGTTAGGATACTGCAACTGCTTCCTGTAGTCTGTGGGCAGGAGGTCCGGGTATAAGCCCATCACGTGGGTGGGATCTATGAGAAAGGTAAACATGATTCCTTAGCAAAGGAGCCCAACAACTTAATGACAAAATGAAACATGACTATTACTCTAGCAAAACAAGTTCCAGACTGATTATTTTATAGTTTATTTTTTGAAACAGGGCCTATGTAGCCTTGACTGATTTGGAATGCATTATGTAGACCAGGCTGACCTCAATTTGTGGTGTTCCTCTTGCCTTTGCCTTTCAAGATGAGATAGGTATGCATTGCCATGCCTGGCTCGTCGCCACACCCCCCGAATGGGAATGAGTCTAAGTTCAGAAAAACTCAATGAGCTGCATAAATTTCATTAAAATACTAAAAAACTGCATGACACTCTTCTAATACACAGACACACATACACAGAATGAAAACTGAATACTTATTAAGTATCTAAAAGTAAAGGAGAAAAACTGATATTTAAATTTAAAAAGATGAATGAAATTAATAAAAAAAATGTCAAAAAAATATTATGTTAAAAAAAAAAACTTGGACAACATGCCAGGGAATAGATTTGTAATATATATGGCAAGAAGCTAATATGTTGATTATATAAAACAAACACAAAATTGGTAATCAAATGTAAGATTTCATTTGCTAAATGGGCAAACATAAATACTGACAAGAGTGAAAATATGTAGGAAAATATGCTCTGCTACATTAAGAATCTAGTGTTAACCAGGTGTGGTGGTACATGCCTTTAATCCCAGCAGATCTCTATGAGTTCCAGGTCAAGCTAGGGCTACAGGGAAATCCTGTCTCAAAAACAAAAAAACAAAAAAACAATCTAATGTTGAGGGGTATACTAGCACACACCTTTAGTCCCAGCACTCAAGAGGCAGAGGCAGGTGGATCTCTGTGAGATCAAGACCAGGGCTACATGAGACCCTGTCTAGAAAAAAATAAAAGAGGGGCTGGAGAGATGGCTCAGTGGTTAAGAGCATTGACTGCTCTTGAAGAGGACCTGGGTTCAGTTCCCAGCACCCATGTAGCTAACAACTGTCTATATAACTCCAGTTCTAGGGGATCTGATTCACTCTTCTGGCCTGTTAAGGTGTTGCACTCATGGGTGTACTTACATACATGTAGGCATAACACTCATACACACGAAATTAAAAAAAAAAAAAAAAGAAACTAATGTCGAGGGCTAGCAAAATAGCTTGCTGGGTATAGGTGCTTACCACCTAGCCTGACAACATGAGTTCAATCCCCAACACCCATGTGGTGGAAGGAGAGAACTGATTCCTGTAAGTTGTTCTCTTACCTGTATGCATGTACTGTGTATGCTCATCCACACACATACATATATGCACACACACACACACACACACACACACACACACAATTTTACATAAATGTGGGCTGATGAGCAGGTAAAAGCACTTGTCCGAAAATCTAACAACCTGGATATGATCCTCAGACCCACATGGTTGAAGGAGAGAACTGACTCCTACAAAGTCTGCTGACCTCCATTCACAAGCCATGGCATGCCTATGTATGCATGTGCACGCGCGCTCACGCATGCACACACACACAAACACACACACACACACACACACACACACTAAAGTTTTAAAAAAGAATGTAATTTTTTAATAAAAACATTTAAAAATAAATGTAATTAAGCCAGGGCTGGTTCATGAACATAGGGAAGCAGAGGCTTTTAGGCCACTGGAAGCTTGCACATGTGAACTTGTGGCAATGGTGGCATCAAGCACAAGACCCATGCCAACCCAATCAGACAACAACCCAGAGTGGAGCAAGGGAAATGGGTGGTGGGCTGACCCAAGCCTGGGAACGGTTAGAGATTGATCACTACTGGGTAAGGGAGAGTAGATACTTACAATCTGTAGATAGGCTAACTAGACTCCAGTGGATGACTTTGCACTGAAGGATATCTGGGTACAAATGCTTGGCTAGATAGAACTTAACATGTATGGCAGAATGAATGAGGTCTGGCAGGGGTGAAGTGGGGGGGCATGGATGGGGAGAGAGGGTCTAAATTTGATTTAAGAACTGTTGTGTGAAATATAAAAAAGCTCAATAAAATTTTTTTTAAAAATTTCTTTAAAAAAATCTAATGACAACAGTCAAGGTTGTCCTCAGGCTTTACACACACACACACATACACACACACACACACACACACACACACACACAAGTGGGGTTGATTAGTTCATGACAGTGGTGAAAGGTCTCGGATGCAGGTTGAAAAGTGACACTGAGATGGATTGTTTGGGGTATGGAGTTTATTAGTTATCCCCAGGGACAGACAGACAGCATGACAGAGGCTCTAAGGAGAGGAATCAGGTCCATGTGGTAGAAATGGGTAGTTTTATTGCACAAGCCTACAGTTAGGCTCTGAGTCCCATTCAGGAGTCAGGGAACAGGATTATGTGACCACTAATACCCCCTTGGATGTTAATTCACTATCCAGGTAAGAGATTCTGGTCCTAGGATGTCTGTGAGTTAGGGATTCACTGACAGTCTCAGTAGGTACCCATGCTATCTGTGAGAGGGGAAGGCTGCTCTAGCAGCTGGATTCCAGCACTACATTCTTACAAGTGGACCTCTTGTGAATGGGACAGTGTCTTTACAAAAGAGGCTACAGGGAGCTCCCTCCCACCACACAGAAATAAAACACAATCTAGGAACTAGGAACACAGAATCTTCTAGATATTTGCCATGGAGTTCCTATAATCTAGAACTATGAGACATAAACCACTGTTGCTTATAAAAATAAATAAAAGAATACCATGTCAAAGAGGCCACTTTTTCTTTTTAGCTACTTAGAATTTAGTGTACTGTCTACATATTCTCCCATCTGCCACAAGGACTGGTTAGATAACGCATAATGCACTGCCCTATGGAACACTATCACTTACAGTCAACTGGCACTTAGCATCTATTTCTACCTCTATGTTCCTTCCTGCTTATGAATACTATAAACTAAAAAACTACTTTTCTCAAGCTCCCCTAAACTCAAGAGTTCTGGATGAAAATATGGCTCCACCAACAAGCAACAGATGTGTAGGACTGGAAAATGGAAGTGTGATGGGGACTTCCCTCCCTATTGTGCCACCAGCTGAGAATCAGCATATTCTAGTGTCTAGTTTGAACAATCCGTGTGTGTGTGTGTGTGTGTGTGTGTGTGTGTTGCATGCATGTGTGGTAAAATTTACACAACACAGTATTTATCATTTTTAGATAGGAATTTCATATACTCCCAGCTGGCAATGTAGCAAAGGATGATCCTTAACTTCTGATCCTCTTGCTTCCACCTCCCAAGTGCTGGGATTGCAGACATGTGCCACCACACCTAGTTTATACAGTGCTGGGAATTGAATGTAGGGCTTCATGAATTTTAGACAAGCATTCTACCAACTGAACTATATCCCCAGCCCTCAATTTCAGTCATTTGCAAGTGTACAGTTCAGTGCCACTGAATCTGTTTGCAGTGCTGTGCCCTTCCAAACACCATCCATCACCAGAACTTTGCTAATATCCCAAGCCAAAATTGTGTATTCAATAAAAAACTGCTCTCTAGTTTCCCATTTCAGCCCCTGGCAACTTCTGCTCTATTTCTGGTCCCTATGAATGATTTGCCTATTCTAAGTACTTCTTAGCACAATGTCTCAAGGTACACACATTTTGCAGTATATGTGGAAATTTCATCCATTTCAGTGCCTATATAATGTCTATATATAACATAAGTGGCATTTTATATTCATTTAATTAGTGCCTATATAATGTCTATATGTAAGTGGCATTTTCATTTAATTAGAAGTTATTTTTTATCTACCATAACCTAGGGCTTACAACATTGTGAAGCTGAATCATTATACATATGCCTACCCCAATCAGGAAAAAATACTTGGATTCTCTAATCTACTTCTGCAAATTTATCCAAAAGATTAGGGGGAGGGGCTGGTAAGGTGGTTCAATGGGTAAAGGTGCTTTGCTATGATAACCTGAGTTGGATCCCCAGGAACCATAGAACCCATGTAAAAAGCTGGATGTGGTGGTATATATCTGTAACCCCAGCACCCTTAAGGTGAGATGGGAGCTGGAGAAGGGAATCAGCCAGAAGTTCCAGGGCCAGCTAGCCTGCACTCAGAAACGAGAAACTGCCTAACAGGTGGAAAAGAGAATTGACTCCTAAAAGTTGTTATCTGACTTCCATATGTGTGTTATGAGACAGACAGCAGACAGACAGACAGACAGACAGACAGACACACACACACACACACACACACACACACACAAAAGATTAAGGAGACTATGCCATAGAGTGTATGAAAGAGGTACATTATTTATAAACTATGCAATTTTGGAAACAACATATAAGTCCTTCAACAGCAGAACAAACTGTTTTTACTTCACCTAATAAGAACACTATGAAATCAATGCAAACTATAATTATGATATATGGCAAGTGTATACCGCTATTATCATAATTCTGTTAAAATGTGTACATGTAGAAAAAGTCTAGGTGAGGAAGGAACAAAATGAGAGTTAGGCTTAGATCAAAGATTATGTTAGAGATCCCCCCATCCCATTCTTACAAGCTTTCCCACTAATGATTTACAATTTATTATCCTTTAGAAAAATGTCAAAGTCAGGTGAAGGAGGGCTGCTCCCCTTGCAATGGACAGGAGTCCCTGGTAAGCTGACAGAAAGCAAATGCTACAGCCTTCCCTTGAGTCCTCCAGAACCCTGTAAAAGCACTTGCTGCTCTACAAGAGGATCCAAGCTTGATTGATGGTGGCTTATAAGAGCCTGTAACTCCAGCTCCAGGGGTATCAGACACCTCTGAGGGCACTTGGGCAGCTAACCAGAGTAGCTGCAGTGCTCCATGGGGGCCACATAGAAGCACAATTTTAGGGAAGACAGCTGCTGAGAACTGTTAAGTGAACACATGGCCCTCATTTGCCTCCTGCACTAACATCCACGTCTATAAACGTGTTCCACTTAATATCTTGTCATGAGAGGCTAGGGGTGTAGCTCATTGGTAGAACACTTGTCTAGCATGTTCATGGCCCTGGATTCAATCCCCAGCACTGCAAAAACCTTATTGTATCACTTAAGGATTACCAAAGTCTCTTGTGGCATCCAAAGTCCTTTGACATCTGCCACAATGCATCTTTCTGGTATGGCCTATCACATACCACTAGAGACACACTGGGCTCTGGTTCACTTGTCCTTGGACACAGGAGGTGAGTTCCTTGCATCCGCTCCCTTCACACCCCCCTTTTCCTTTTCATCCTTCATGGCCCCATTGACTTCTCACTTCTTTGGTCTCTTACTTTTTGTTAGTTTGTTGAGATAGAATCTCAAACTGTATGTCAGGCTTACCTAGAATTCTCTATGTAGCCCAAGCCTTGAACATGTACAATTCTCCTGTCTGAACTTCCCAAGTGTGGAGATTACAGGTGTGAGCTACCATGCCTGGCCTTACTTTCTTGATGCCCCTGGAGAACTTTATCACACACTCAATAATTTACTGAGTAGGTCCACATGCAAGCACTTTGGGGACTTGAGACATGTTGCATTTACCCTGGAAGCCCAGGTCTGAAAGCAGAGCTGGCACTGACAACACTTATGATTTGCTCGAAGAGTAGGTTCTGAGTCCTGGATTATACCACACACAGATCCAAGTATGATATAGATGCATGATTAACAAGGAAATGGTATGCCTCACACAGAGCAAAGGTTAGGAGGCAGCTCTGCCTGGGCCTCACTGACCTAGCTGGTTCCTGAATTCCCAGGCACTTTCCTACCTCATGCATATGCGCAGGCTGCTTCCTCAGCCTTGAATGCCCTTTCCTAGACACTGGCATGGCTCATAGAGGCATCACTGTCAGGCTGTAACTGAAATGCTGCCTTTGTAGAGATGCCCAACCATCTTCTATTCAACTGTAATCCAGACCCTGATCTACTCGAGAAGCATGATTGTGGTAATGAGGGGCCCAGAAGAGAGGCAGATGAGCAAACAGAAATCTGGATCCAGTCTATGCTGTACTAGGAGAAAGGGCCCTGGGCTTGCAGACGAAGTATTTCAGTCATGCGAGCCTGTTCCCTGCTGGGCAGGGGTGGGGTGGGGAGGGGGTGGGGGGTAGTGCTCCCTCTGGCTTATGTGAAATGTGCCTCTACATATCCTCTTCACCAATGCTATGCTCTAAAGTAGGCTCTAGCATCCCAGACATACCAGGCTCTGTTACACCCTGACTCTGGCTAATGTGAATTAGCTCATGCATAGCTGGTAAATGGGGAGAATGATGTCATTATCAGGCAACAGCTGCCTGGGCTTGTGGGCAATTTTCCCCAGATTATTAATGTTTGGAAATGATCCAAGAGCAAGCTGGCTCACAATTAAAGATGAAAGCTTTAATTATACATGAAGACCTGGAAGAAAGAACAGAAAATCCTACAGAAATGCTACTTTAGTGCAAATAACAGCTGGTTAGCAGCTTCAAGGACCACGTACTTTCTGCTAAGTTAAGCCACCTAGGAAAGCTGTCAGTACAAATAAAGCAAAGATGCTCCCATACTAAGGGTTTTTTTGGGAGGGGGTCTTATAAAGAATTCTATACTTGGAGACAGCAAGAAGGGTCAGCTGTTAAGTGCTTGCCATGTAAGCCTTAGTCTGATGACCTGAGTTTGGTCCCTAGGACCCACCCCACATGGTGGAAGGAAAGAACTGACTTCACAAAGTTGTCCTCTGACCTCCACACATGCCCCTCGCCCCCAGTACTTTTTTTTAAAGTCTATACTCAAGATTAAATGTGATTTTTTTGTTGTTTGTTTTTTGTAAAACTAGTTTCCATTAAAAACAAATGTCTTCAAACATCTTCATCGCAAAGAATAAAGCACAGCTTCAGGAGGATTTAAGATTGCAAAGGACACCATGCTGGAATCCAACACCAGTGGAATGTAACTAGAAGTTTCTTACAGAGTTACACAGGCCTTGAATGCCCTGGTATTTTCCGTGAGCATTTGTTACAGAATGTGAGAGCTGCCAGAACCACGTAAAAGGTATCACAGCAACAATGCCTTTATGGAAAGGGTAGAGGGACCCTGAGACAGCTCAGCAGGTACAGGTGCCTGTCACCAAGCCTGACATCCTAAGTTTCATCCCTGGAACCCACATGGTAGAATGAAAGAACCAACTCCCACTAGATGACTCTGGCTTCTACATGTGCACACATACACACATATACATTACACACACAATACATAAAATGTGAACAAAATGGTTTTTTTTTAGAAAAAAGTAAGGGTAGGGGCTAAGTGGCAGTGTATTTACCTAACATGCAGAAAGTCCTGGGTTTGATCCCCAGAACTACCAAAGAGGGAGGTGCAAACCTGGGTGCTATGTATGGATATTTATGTGATTTGGGTGAGGGTCAGTCTGACACTAGTGATCTGATAACCTCTAGGTATATAATGCCCATTTCTACACCTATGGACCAGACTTTAGACTGAGGTCACTAAACAATGTATTATATAAGTCCTGTCAATGGCCAGCTGCCTCCCTCCCTCCCCAACAAGCCCACCACTAGCACACATCTCCTGCTGTTGGACAGGGTCACCTATGGCTTATCCTTTCTGGAGACTGTTCTTTGAAAGCAGAACTCCTGTTTGATTATTGTTGCTTGCATTGCACTCTCGGAGCTCAGCATCTACTTGGGGAATAAATCAATTAAAATGCAGTAGCTTCATCTCAGCTGACTTTAAAGATTTATGACTAGGAGACAAATATCTTTGGCACATGGAAAAGGTCAGGTTTTCACCAGAGTTTCACCTTACTATTCTATTATTTTTGTGAAGAGCTTGTGGACACTGGAAACAATGTCCTGATGAAGTTCATTTGGAGAAAGGATGGCAGATATAAGTTCAAACTATCTAGCACCAACTGTGTGTGCATGCGTGCGTGCATGTGTGTGCGTGTGTGTGTGTCTATGTGAGTAAGGGTGCAGTGTGTGCATGTTCATGTGCTTGCAGGTATATGTGGTGGGGGGTTATGCATGTGTGTTTGGAAGACAGAAGTCTCTCACTGGCCTAGAGCTCATCAAGTAGGCTAAGCTGGCTGGCCAGTAAGCTTTGAGGATCTGCTTATCTCTAACTCCCCAGCACTGGGTTTACAATCATGTACCACTACATTCAGCTTTTTTTTTACATGGGTTCTGGAAATCGAACTCAGGTACTCATACTTGCAGGCCAATTGCTTTACCAACTGATCTATCTCCCCAGTCCCATATCTTTTCTCAACAGCAATCTACTTCCTTTTGGTGAGTGCCCTCTTGCACATTGTATTTGTGGTTGGAGGACATCCTTAGCCTTCAGAATTAGAGGGGCCAAACCTCCTTCCACACCCCTGGTACAGTATGGGAATGGGACCATGACCTAATCTTGGTGAGAAGATCCCCTTGATCTTGAGAAAGGTAAAAGAAAGATGGCAAGCAGTATGGCACATGCCCACAATGTCCACCCTACACGCTCCTCTTCTATAACAGGATCCCCTCCAGCAAAAAGTCTTGTTTCCCCTGCCTTCACCTGTAAGGATCCTTGTAAATCAGCAGAACACAGCAGGAGTTACAGGCACCAAAGGCACTTAGGCACCCACCTAGGTATCTTGGATACCTTGCACCCTCTCAGAAAAGCCAGCTGCTATACAGACATTTAAGCAGCTCTGTGGAGATTCACATGATCAAGAACTGGGGACCCAGGTCCCAGCCAGCACCAATTTGTCAGCCATAGCCCAGTCATGACCTCAGATGCTGGCAACTGATACAGTGATAGGGAGCAATTTTTATAAGGATGAAGCAATAGGGGAGGTGACAGCACAACATCTAAGGAAGTAGCTCTGCAGGATCACCAAGTCTGTCCTGGCTACAAAGTGATTACTGTCCTGTTTCTTATTTCCTGCTTTGAGGGCCCCCAGAGTTCCTCTGTTATCATGTAATATTGACCCATCACACACACTGTTCAAGTACCTCATGTTATTGTCACAGGAACAAACATTATGCCTCTTGTAGGCATAATATGTAGAGGAGAAGCAGGGAGTTCAGTGGTTCCACAGAAGCTCTGAAAGAGTGACTCCAGAGTGCCTGCTCTCCCCACAGCACCCCAACAAGGAGGTCCTAGGACATTACAAAGAGAGAGGGTTTTGCAGCACTGTCCTATGTTGACTCTCAGAAATGACCTACAGTTTAATCCATGGACTTCTGTCTAGCACAACACTCAGAAAACATGAGCTGATCAAATGCATATTTGTTGAACTGAATGACTTTTTATTCTGTCTTTAATGATGAAGGCAAAGCATTCTGGAAAATTGGAAGTCTGTGTTTATGGATGAGGTCAAATTAGAAACAGTAGGACAGTAAATATGTAACCACTGAGGTCCCTTACAAAATCTTGTTAGGTGTGGGAATCAGTTTTGGTGAGAGCAAGTTTCTCCTGTTCTCATTTCTCTTCAGCTTCCCGACTCTCTCCTCCATCATCAGTTCCTATCCCAAGGCCACACCTGCTTGTTACCTGTGCCAAGCTTAGCAAAGACCTGCATGGACTCATCAAAGCGCTTCTGGCAGAAGAGGTTGAAGGCATACAAGTTCTTGATGTGATGGATCTGCTGCTGCTTTTCACTGTCTGAGTCATCTTTCATTTCCTAAGAGACAGAATAGATAAAAGTTCATTTACTCTCCAAATACTTACTCAGCACATTCTAGGTGAGATAACATCTTAGAAACCACAGGTGCTAAAACATGCAAGACAACAAGGGATCTGCCTGTAGAGACTGCCTGACAGTCTAAGCATCAGATGGCTTAAGTAAGTATGCACTGCAAATTCATAGGGCATCTACAAAGTGCTATCTAGTACTGCAGAACTCTATGAGAGCCACGACAAACGAGGAAAGAGGGAGAGACTGTCACAGTCTAGAGGACACGAAGATGTGCCAATTAAATGACCAGTTCCAGATATGATCCTGGTGTGCGCGTGCGCGCGCGCACACACACACACACACACACACACACACAAACACAGGACATTAATGGAAAAGTTAGCCAAATCTCAGACAAGTCTAGGGTTAAGTTCAAAAACAAAAACGGAAACAAAGCAGGGTAAGGATGGTAACGAAAGCACGTGGGAAGGCTCCGCAGTGCAGTCTGAGTGGTTTGTTGAGCAGGGACTCCAAGAAGGGCCTTGACTGGGATGTAAGGGTGGGGAGGAGAGGGTGTGCACCTGGTGAAGAGATAGCACATGCACACAGCACCAGAATGACAGAGCACCACATGCTATGGGACAGACACACATCTAGTATGGATGGCAGAACTGGGCAAGGTCCTGTTTCAGCAGTCAGTAAGTGAGCTATTAATAGCTTTGTTTCTCCTGATAACCTTCCCCTCTTAGCTCTCTTTTGATGAGTCTTTACTTAATTTAATTTCTTTCTATGCTTCTCAGGGGGCTGGTGAGATGGCTCAGTGGGGAAAGATCTTTGCTGTGCAAGCCTGGTGACCCAAGTTCAATTTCTAAAACTCATATAAAGGTAGAAGGAGAACTGACTTCACAAAGATGAAGTCCTCTGAAGAGGAGTTGTCTCTGACCTCCATTCATGTGCAGTGCCACCCCCCACCCCCAAAGACACCCAAATAAAATTTATAAATAAGCGCTTTTCAGTTTCTTCCCTCCCTTTACTTCTGCCACTCTAAGCCACCACTGTCAGCATGCAGCTGCACTTGGTCCTGCACGTGCTTGGTAATTCAAAGGCTTTCTAACCCTGGCTCCCACCCTCTTACTAAACTGTTCCCAATATTTAAGGCACACCTTCTGATCAAGTCAGTATGGACTTCAAATGTTCTAGACACACCACACTTGTTTTCACTTTTTTTTCTTTTTTCACTTTTATGTATATATGATACACATATAATGGGGGCATGTATGCATGGGTGCATGTCGAGCCCCTGACCAGGTATCATCCTCCATCACTCTTCTACCTTATTCACTGAGGCAGGGTCTCTCATCAAACCCAGAGCTCACTGATATAGCTAGTCCTGCGAGCCAGCTTGCTCTGGTGATCCCATCTCCCGCTTCTGAGGCTGGAATTACAGGTGGGCCATCCACATCCACCTGGCATTTATGTGGGTTCTGGGAATTTAAACCCTGAACTCTGTCCTTGTGATTGTGGGCAAGTCTTTAACCTCTGAGTCATCTCCCCAGACCTTGTTTTCACTTTTAAAACTTCCTCTAACCTTCAGTGTTCCATGTTTCCTGCACCTGATTCTAACCTTACCTACCTTAAAGGACTAACTCAAGCATCCAATTTTCAGGCACCTTTTCCAGCTCATAGAGATTCGTTCCTCTCAAACTCGCTGTGCCCTGTTCTATCAATTCCAAAGTTTAGTATAAAATTCTTATGTATATGTTCTTATCAATTTAATGAAGACCAGTTCTTCCAGGTCTAAAATGAAACCAGTGAAGCCTCTTTTGCCTTAAAAAGGAACATAGTAAGTTCAATCCTAAAAACAGGAGAAAAATGGAAACCCAGTTCTATCTTCTCCATCAAAGATTAAACAGACAACCTGTGAGGTAGATCACTGCAAAGACTGCTATACCTTCCTGTGAAAAATCAGAAATAGGGGCTGAAGAGATGGCTCAGTGATTAAGAGCTGGCTGCTCTTGCAGAGGACCGGGGTTTGGTTCCCAGCACCCACGTGGTGGCTAACAACCATCAGTAACCCCAGTTCCAGGGCATCGACACCCTCTTCTGATCTCTGTGGGCAATGTACAACATGGGTGCACTTACATAACTGCAAGCAACACAGCCATACACAAACACAAACACATACATACACACACACACACACACACCACCACCACCACCACCACCACCACCACCACCACCACCACCACCACCTACAACAACAACAACAACAAAAAACAAAACAAAACAAAACAAAACCAACAAACCAGAAATAAAGGGAGTTGGACCCAGCACTTGGGAGGCTGAAGCAGGAGGATCTCCTAAGGGTAATCTGGATAATGTAGAAAGATTTTGTCTCAAAATATCAAAAAAACCCCCAAAAAACATAAAAATAAATAAGAGGAGGGAGGGAAAGGGAGAGAGAGAGAGAGAAGAAAAACAGATACTAAAGAGAGTTCACATTGCATATCCTATGAAGTTTAAAATCTAAATACATTTTTTAATCAGATTTTTAAATTTATTTTATTATTTTTTTAATTTTATTTTATTTTATTTTAATGTGTATGAGTGTACTGCTTGCATGTATGTGAGTACACCCATGTGGTGCAATGCCGCAGAGGTCAGAAGAAGGCTTCGGATTCCCCTGGAACTAGAGTTAAGGATGGTTCGTAGCTGCCATGTGGGTGCTGGGAATCGAACCCAGGTCCTCTGCAAGAGCAGTCTTAACCACTGAGCCATCTCTCCAGCTCCGTTTTATCAGATATTTTATTTCAAGAATTAATACCTTTTTTCAAAAAGTAGAAACAACAGTTATTTACGAGTGTAAAATAATTAATTGTACAATAAAAAGGCAGTTACAAAATTAAGCAATTAGAATTGGTACATAATTCTTCACATTTACTTGAATTCTACTACAAATGTAGTCTTAAAAATCTCATGTATTTTGGAATACCAATATTTTAAAAATTATGCACCTGTGGTGTTTAGGGCTCAGTCTGTTCTGTTTTTATTGAATTCCAGGGCAGTACTATCTTCAGAACAGTACTATTGAAGCCAACAGACTTCACATATGATAGAAAATTATTTCTCTTGGGGGGACCTTGTTATTTATGGCCTCTGGGTCCAGTTCTTCAGGAAAGACCAGCAGGATACTACTGGCACCTACTGTACCTCCAGTGTTTGAGGCATAATGCTGCTGCTTCTGGCAAGAACTGTATGTTTGCTTCTTTTCTATGACACTCCATGCCACTGTGTATTTACCCTCCTTATCCCAGGGCATCTCTGTGTTAGGAACCAGCATCCACATCACCATTGTTTCTGACTTGAGATATCCAGGAAAAAGGTTTTCATTTGAGTTCTTAAATAGCCGATTTGGTAACCATATAGAATTGCATTCCCAAACTTCAGAAGGTTGCCCACTATGGACAGAAGTCCACCATAAGCCCAATCATAGGAGGTATCCACGTAAGATGTTTCTTTGTATTGTAAACATTAAATTTTTGAAAGACTGCTTTTGGTCCCTGAACAGCCCTAAAAAACCAGTGTCTTTAACCTTGCTCTGTTGTAAATCACTGGCTCATTTTCTTCCCGTACAATTGTCAACATAAAATAGTCATAAAATAGTTTCTGAATATAGTTCAAATATTTATAATCTGAAGTCCTTTCTACTATGGCTGTCAGCGGGGCATACCCAAAGGTTAAATACAAAAACTGACAGGTTCAAAGAATAAAGGTTCATTTTTAAATAACATTAGGGATGCAATTGAATTTTCAAACTTTTCTTTCAAATATAATTTGCCTTGTTCAAAAGTTTTCTTTTTCTTGCTTGGTTTTGAATTTTGGCATTTGGTTCTGCTGTCTGGCTTGGTTCTAGCTTTAGGGGAGTCCATCTTTTCATAACTTTTGCCTCCCTTTTCTTTCAGTCTTTTTTAGTGGTCAGATGGCACAGTCCCTTTCATCATCTTCAGGACTTTGTAAGTTTTCTCTTTCACTTTTTTCATCATCTTTTCTTTTTAAAAAAAATATTTTATTATTTTTATTTTATGTGTATGCATGTATTGCCTGCATGTAGGTAAATGCACCTGTGTCGTGCAATGCCTGTGGAGGACAGAAGAGGCTGTCAGATTCCCTGGAACTGGAGTTACAGACAGTTGTTAGCTGCCATATA